CCTCCGCCGCCATCGCAAGTCCAGCGGGCATATATTTGTTTTTACTTGTAGGGGATATATCCAATTTAGGTCAACTTGTAGGGCATCTACACAGCCAATAGGATACTATAGCCAGGCGTCTAGCGCAATGGTAAAGACGCTCCAATCCTTAGTCTAGAACCCGTGTTCGACTCCTAGGTATCAGATCTTTTTTTGAGAAATTAAACCCCGAAGGCACACATGGTACAAGTGACACGCAAACCATCAGGTCCCACAGGTTGGATGGAGATGAAGAAAGGTCCCACAGGTACACGTAACACGTAAGTTGTCGGGTCCAACAGGTCGAATGCAGAAGGACCGAGCGGAGACTTTTATGACGAATTGCAAGCGTCAAGTGACACGCAAGCCGTCGGGTCCCACATGTCGAATGAAGATGGGTCGTCGGGTCCTATAGGTACACATGACACGTAAGCCGTCGGGTCCCACAGGTCAGATGCTAAAGGGTCCCGTGGGTACACGTCGGATGGTGAAAGGACTGAGCGGAGACTTCTATGATGAACTGCAAGTGTCTCGAATGAGTAACTGCAGGTCCCACAGGTACACGTCAGATGGAGAAGGGTCCCATAGGTACACATTGCATAGAGAAAGGATCGAGCAGAGACTTTTATGACGAATTGCAAGCGTCATGGATGAGTAACTGCAGGTCCCACAGGTACACGTCAGATGAAGAAAGTACCGTGTGGAGATCTATGACGAAGCGTCGTTTGTTACAGATCGAATATTGTTCTTCACAGATGTGTAATTAGTTCAATGACGAAGCCCTGTTCGTCATAGTTTTAAAGGAGATCGTCACAGATGAGTCGCGTGAGTGATCTGTGATGAAACCCTACGCTCTTCTATGATGTTTTTTTGTGACGATGCCTAAATTCATCATAGAAATGGAGGGTTGTAGGATCGTCACCACTGATATATGACGAAACGGAAATATTCATCATAAAAGCGCTCTTTTATGACGGTTTCGGATTCGTCATTAAGATTTTCGTCATAGAAGTGGATACTTCTAGTAGTGATATCTAGAATCTCAACATGATGAGCGGCAAGGGCATGTCCTACTCCATCTTTGGGGCCATTCTTGAGCTAGCACAACATAAAAATAGCAACAAACACATCTACAATGCATCTGCCTTGCATTCATGCCTCACAATGATCAAGGGGACACAAAAGCATGAGAGGGTCAGGCCACGCTACCTCAAGCTAGCAAGACCCAGATAACTTATAAAAGAACAACAACCGACGATAAACATAGCAAAAATACCCTTACCATTGGCTTTAATTTATAAATCGTATATATAGAAATATTAAAAAATGATAGAATTCTAATACTACAATCATCTTTGGTTTGGATGGTTTCATTTTTATCATACTCCCATAGTTAAAAGACCAAAAATCTCGTTTCCCAAAGAGTCAGGTAATTTCGAATTTGTTAAACATATATAAAATAGTTAAATGCATGAGTGGTCCGCATTCCTAAACTTGATAAATGGCGCATTGCATGTCCATTTTTTGACCATATCAAACCTCTGGTGGAGCATTTAACCAATTTAGAGACCTAGGGATATATTTTCATATTTCACGAATCTAAGGAACACGTCTTGACAAATTCTAACTCTATGTAGAAATATTAACATTTATAATACATAATAATTTATTGCTAGATTGATAATACATTTTCATAATAAACTTATCCAAATTATATATAAGCCTATTTTTTAGGGATACCATGCGACCAGCTTTATTGATTCATAAGAATAGTTATATCATTTACAAGCTCTACTGAGATAAATTAGGAGGACCATCAACCCAAATACAATTGTTGTTCAGACTAAAACCTCGCCTAGCTAGCTCATGCGCTACTCCGTCTGCATCCTTTCGACAGTGTTTGATGGAAACATCAATGAGGTCCCTCCATCGTCATAGATTACCGCCGTCGTAATTGACTAAAAAAATCTATGTTCTCCATTGTTTCAACCACCATCGGACTATCTGACACAATGATCACTCTACTAGCACTAATTTGTTGAGCTAACAACATGCCATCCTTCGACGCATACGCCTCTGCCCTATGCACAACAGTTACATGGGAGGTAAAATTGTTGGACGCCGCCACAAAATCTCCCCCACAACCCCTGATGATCACTCCCATGCTACCTCCTCCAGACACCGGATCAAGAGCCGCATCCACATTTACCATAAGCTTTCCTTTCTGGTGGTTTGATCCAACCAATCTGCACTTTTGCTCCTTTCTTCATTGACAACTTGTAGTTGGTTGAAAGTGCAGCAATTGCTAAAGCTGTTTGAAGTGTTCCTTGAACATTCTCGCGCGCGAGCTATTTGCCTTCTTTCTCACCACAAGCACCAACCACTTGTGATGATTAATTTCGCAAAACCCACACTATTTAGGTTCTTAATTGATTGCCGCATCGAGATACTTCCTCTAGAGCTAGATCTATCTACCCTCAGAATGTTTCTAATCTTGTTCCATAGCCTTAGTTTTCTCTACATTTCTTTTGATCTCGCATGCAGAAACATCATATGCTTGATACCTTCGCACGGCAAGCAGGGCATCCTCCAACGTGCAGATTGGTTGAATATACACGAAATTCCATGATGTTCAGCCGGTATCTTCTCTCGTTACCGAAAAAAATAATCCCACTTGGCCCCGTGATTAAGGATGCAGGTGGGGAGGCAGCGGCTAAACCCGCCCCACGTCCGCGCAACCTGCAAACGCATCGCGGGCTGATGAGGCGAGCCTGCAATGGCCGCACAACGCACGCGGCAAGATGCGGGTTCCGCCAGCCCACTTAATTAGCACGCCCATACTTCCGCTAGCATATATTAGCAAAACAGTGTAGACACACATACAACAGGGGCAGCCGCCGGGCAGCAACGCGGGAGCTTCGAGTCCGACGGTGGGGATGAGTACATGAACTGCCTGCAGGTGCCGGCCACCGCTCCGGGCGTGCCCCGGCAGCATCAGATTGGCAGCATCATGTTGGCGCCTTGGCGGCCAGTCGCCCCACGTCCAGCAGCGGAGGATGGCTCGAGATCGCCATCGCCTCGTCCCACCTGACGGGGACCACGGACGGTGACGGCGACCCGCGGGAAAGCTCGCCCACGGCGCGTAGGAACCGTGCGATCCCGGTGCCGTCGGCGACGGCGTGGCTTCAGATCACCCCGAGGACGAAGCCGCTGCAGGTGAACTCAGTGACCTGCACGGATAGCAGAGGGTCGTCGGCGCCATAGCCGCTCATGACCGGGTAGTAGACGACGAGCTCTTCCAGCAGAGAGGTCCTCATGCCGGTGCCGCCATGTGATCTCTCGAAGAGCTTCGATGCTTCGCTCAGGGAAGGATGCAGACGCGGTGATGAGCTCCGCTGCGTATTCTACGTCGCACCATTGCGTTCCATATGAGTGGGATGTGGGTTGCTGCTAGGATACGCGGGTTTCCACTTCAGCCCACTCTATCTAAGTGGGCTACTCTGCGGGCTTAGAGCATCTCCAAGTGTTCCATGAATTTTCCTCCTAAAAATTTCATGTTTCTAAACTCCTAAAAATGTATTAGGAGAAAAAAAGACCATCTCCAATAATTTATAATATTTCACTTCTTAATAATCAAATTTGGGTCCCACTTAGCTTTTTTTTGCGTTCTTTTTTTTCGTGCGTACCTCTTCGTCCCCGCGCATACGTACGCCACCGCCACCATTTTCCTTTGCGTTGCCCTAGCTCTGCTCGTCCCAGCCGACGGCCTGCTCCTCCCAGCCGGCCGTGATCTCCTCCCAGCACTTGTAGTGGTTCAGTACCACGCATGCATACAGTACCATGCAACAGTACGCAACAACTAGGCATCAGCAGGTTGCCGGCCATCAAGTAGCAGCAACAGGTAGCCATCAGCTTGCAGCCGGCCATCAAGTATTTCCCAAGTGCGTAACTTTGATGTATACAGGGGATCGATATAGGATACTACTATAGATCGATTAGATAGATGGATGGATGTTGATGCAACTCCGAAATCAAATGGGCGGCCGGCCGGCGGCGGGGCAATCGAACAAGAAAGGAAGCATGACACCACCTCCCAGCCTACGACGACGGCGTCCGGCACGAAGCCAAGGTGGCGGCGGCGGCGCAGCAAGCCCACGTCCGCGGCGGCGTCGATCCTCTTCTTGGTGGCGAGCGATGGAGCGGCTAGTTCCTGGTGGCGAGCGATGGAGGAGCGACTTCTTTCTACCGCGACCTAGAACCATCGATGGAGAGCGCGCGAAAGATGGCCTCGCGGCAAAATACGGCGCGGGAAGAAGGACAGCGTGCGGGAACGGCGTCTCCGCGCGGCTTCGTCCGCGTAAAGTTACGCGGAAGGGAGATGAATTTTTCAAGTCCTAAAAAATTAGGAGTAAATATTAGAAGTTGTTAGAGATGATTTTTTTTCCTATCTTTTTAAAAACACAAGAATTAAGAAGATTTTTTTAGAGAACTTTTAGAGATGCTCTTACACGGTCGGTGCCGCAGGCAGCCCAGCGGGTTGGCGCGGCGGACCGCCCCACCTTGCATCCTTACCCGTGATTCTCGTAGCGGCCGACCCCATCCACCAGTCTAACGCGGTAAACGCCAGTCCAAAAATAAGTACCCCCGCCACCCACAGCGAACCGTTCCCACGAGGCTCGGCCAATGACAGCCAGACCCCACCCTTGTCGTACTCCACATGACATTGAGCAGGCCATTCCACATGGGCCCCCCGGACGCCGCCGCCCGTCTCCCTCCGCGAGTCCGCGTGTCCCGGCTACTCCTCTCGGCATTTCTCTTTGGTCGTGGGGTGTCCCCCTCTCTTCCAATATTGCCTCTCTTCCCCACGAGGCCACGACTGAAATTTTCCTGCCAAATCGAAACCCCCTCGCGCGACGCCAAGACGGAGAGGAGAACAATAGGGGAAGGGGAAGGCCCAGGGGGAAGCCACGGCCACCGGCGCGATGAAGCCGTCGCAGTCGAAGAAGAAGGGCAAGAAGAAGAAGAAGTCCTCGCCGCCGTCCGCGGCGCCGGCCCCTGCGCCGGGGGAGGGGACTGCGGATTCGGAGGCCTGCTCCCCGCTGCCCGGAACCCAAACCCTAGCCGCCGCCACCGCGGCGGCGGCGGTTTCGGAGACGGAGTCCAGCAGCAGCGGCGAGGCCTCGACGTGCGCGTCGTCGGCCTGCTTCACCGCAAGCTCGTCGGGGACGGCGTCCTCGTCCTCCTTCTCTGCCTTCTCCTCGTCGGCGTCCACCGCTTCGTCGTCGGCCGCCGGCGAGGAGCGGCGGGACCTCACGTGGCTGCTCGACGCGTTCGCCAGCGCCACCATCGACCAGATCGACTCCGCCTACCGCGAGGCCGGCGGGGACCCCTTCGTGGCCGCCGGTATCCTGGGCTCCACGCAGGACACGCAGCCGCCGCAGCCACCACAGCCGGCGCCGCAGCCCCCGCCACCACCGGATCTCTCGCCGCGCAGTGGATCTGGTGGAAGGAAGGCTGGCCGGAGGCCCAAGCGGGTTGCGGTGGCCGCTACGGGCATGGTCGCGGACGTTATTGGCAAGGAATACACGCGGCCCGCGACTACTCCTGTAAGCGTGCCAAATGCGTGGAAGGGTCGGGATGGGGAGAGGGATGGCGGGTCTGGTGGCTGCAAGTACAGCGTTGAAGAGGCAGAGCAATTCCTGTGCTCCATGCTCGGGGATAATTCCGAGCTTGGCATGGGTGTTGTCAGAGACGTGCTCGGTGAGACATTTTTCACTTGCTGGTCTATAGTTGTCTATTCAGAATGCTGCATTTTGACCATTCCGTTCCGTGCCATGCCCCATTTCACTACTCAGCTGAATTTTGGACCTTGAATTTGTAAACCCTATGCCCTTAGATGTTGCGAGTGTTCAAAAGATGTTCTTTTTACTGGCTTGCATACATAGAGTTCTATTAGGAGCGAAACATAAAAAAGGATCCTTAACATCAAATCTTCAGTGAATTTTCAACAAAAATCTTGTGAAAAAAATAATCTTCTGGCTCATTGTTGTTCAAACATGAACCTGAAAGTCATTAACCTCTTTTTTTTGTCCCCCTTTATTACATGGGAAAATTACGAAGGGCGATGATGACATTTGAACTCTTGGTCTGTTAGTATATTTTTCAGTGCTGTGTGCTTTGCCTTTACCAATGAAAATGAAAAGGAGTAATATACTGTCTAATTAACTCATGATGTGTGGCGAATTGATTGGACGATGCCACTTACAGCGCCGATGTATCAATGGACAAGCTAAAGATGGTGGCTTTGGGCGAGAGGTCCTTTGGTCAGGAACATTTGCAAGATTGGATTTTCAGTTAGTCATGTGAAAGGACTTGCAAGTTGCAAGGCTCAGAGAAAGTAGAGTATGGCCAAGGTCCAGATGCACCAGTTAAGTGGATCGATGGCTTGCTGCTATGGAAAGATGTGTTTCTGCTTATTAGCTGTGCTTACATTGGGATGTGAAGTGGAATGTTATTTTTACTCTTTTTTTTTTGCTATCTTTATGGGAAAACTAGACAACATTTTGGTTAACTGAAAGATTCAATTTTTTCATAGAGTTGCTCTATCTGGTGTACACTTATTCCATCTCTTTGTTTGCCAAACAACTGCACTTTTTGACTTGTTCTAAAAGTTCTGAATTCGGTTATGTGTGTAGCGATCGGCTGAATTGACTGTTTTAGTTCCGGAATGGGCTGTACTTTTTTCAGTACTAAAAGATTTACTTTTGGCATATTTTTGTGTTTTCAACTAAGTTGATCAATTTAAATATATTGAAAATAGCTTCTTAGTATTTGTTTTATTTCTACAACTTGCACGGCATTTGTATGTTTATTTGATTGGAATGATATCTCGTGTTGATATTTTCATCTCGTCCATTTGCAGGTCAGTATGGGTATGATGTTGAGAAGGTAAAATATATTTTATTGGGTACACTGTGTTTTTACCTTTTTTTTTAATTTCAACAAAATCCCACCTATTGGTTTGAGTAGAAACTGGCCTGTTCTCTGCGTCAACCATGTTTTCTTTTGCCTTCAGTAAATATCACTTTCAGGCCAGATAACACTTTGTTCTGGGGTTAGCCTTTGTATCTACAGGTGTATAAAATGTAGCAGAAATGGTGCTGTGGGTTAGCGTCCTTGATATGCTAGTCTTGTGCATATGTGGCTGTCACGGGCCAGTGGCCGCTATTCAGGACACTCTTGAACTATTGATTGATGTGCCTGATACTGTTAAGTGTTAGTTGTAGCATTTGCCTATTTGGTGCACTATTTTTTTTAGACTGTTGTGTTTTTGTAAGAGCTTTCTACCATCTATCAGTCTAGAAGTCCTTGATGGTTTAGCATCAATTAGTAATATATAGCTACAGTGTGTATCAATATCATTGAATTTCTTTGGTTGTTTAGTGAGCTCAACAATATTTTAACTGTTCACACCAACTGATCTTTCACATTTAGAGCCAAAATTAGGATATGAAGACATTATCTTGGTCACTTGACTTTATCTTGGTCACATTCATGGTTTTATTGATTTTTCTTTGATCCTCTTGTTCTTTTTCGAGGATTCCATATATAATTCCTCGTGTTTAAGGAAGAAGTTACAATTACTTATGAAACCACTGAGGACTCTTCTTTTTGTCTTGCATGTTCCTTCTCATTGCCAGGAATGAGTCCCTGCTTTTTTGAATGGATGCTATTCTGTTGGTTTGTACAGTTGTGCTAATCAAGTTCTTTCAGGCTTTGGATGCATTGCTTGATATATCTGGTGTGTCTTCCGTTGAAAACATGGAAACAAATCATCAAAATGCTGGAAGGAATGACACCCGGCATCTATATATGTTCCCTGGAAATGGGTTATCAGTGGACAATCTGACTGCAGGGAATAGAAGAAGTTTACGACAGGTGTTTGCTTAGCACAGTTTTAGTTTAATGCTCGCTCTCTTGGATGCTAAAGATATGAATTGATATTTTGTCTGGATGAAATTGAAACTTATCTTTATTAAGTGCTGTTTGTATTAGAAATGGGTGAGTTCACAAGACATGTTATTTTTCTAAAAAATGAATTTGCACAGTATGATATATTTATTACTACATCCATCACTATGATATTTCGGAATGCATGTACTGAAACGTTGATCAGAAACAGATTCAAACCAAATGAGAGCATACTGCTAGATAGAATCGGTAACCCTAGTTTGTCAGAAATATTTTTCCCTGACATTGCGGTTTTGGAACGATGATTAACACAATCAGAAAAAGTGTCCAAATATCTGTGTTTTGTTACCGTTTTGATTTCTGAAACAAGAAGATAACATGTTTATTTAGGCTGTCAACATGGTTGATGTAATTTGCAAATACATGCAGATTTGTCATATATATTAACTTCAATGTGATTTTGTAGCTCTTTGCTGAATATTATCAGTTATTTTTGTTGTACTTTGGTCTCTAGTTTGTTTCAAACCATGGCAGTTACGTATGGTAGCAATTAGCAGGAAATGCAATAAAACATTTGTAGTTATCTCGTTTGTTGTGGGTAGCCTTTTGTTCCAAACTGATGAAAATTCTAACTTAATTGGGAATGATGTTCTATTAAGTTTGCTGTTTACCTCAGAATGGCATTTTGTGCTCCTGATTCCTGTTTGTGGCCAATATTTTTGTTATACTTTCCATATGAAATCCTTTTTATAATATTCTAACTTTTAATTAATTCTACTCAGTTGACAGATGAGATATCCAACACTAGGTTCCAGTCTGAATTAGGACATGAGTTTTTGTGGGGTGAACCTCAGATCAGGTGAGCCAACTCAGCTAAATGATTTGGCCAAATGTTCAGTTTACTAACATATTGTGCTCAGTTAAATTTTGTTTGGCATCGCTTGTATAATTGTTTACTTATTATAGATGTAATATGCTGAAAGAAAAATTTAGAGAAATGGTGTTCTTCTAGGGATCCTTTCCTTCTTTTGTAGTTTTGGCTTTTGTCCAATCAGCTGTTGCATGGCTATAAAGATCAACTAGTAGGAGGATCTACTTTCCAGAAACCATAGGTGGAGTTGCTTTTTGTGGGGATTGCATTGGGGATATGAATATTGTAGTGACTATAAGGGATGCCAAATTGAGGAAGTATCTTCTGAACCCACCCAGCAATTTGGTAAGGGTTTGGGCCTCTGGGGACATGCAACTGTCCTGTGATTTGTCCCATTTAGCCTGGGCTGATTCACAACCACTATTTTCTACCCCCTCCGTTCCAAATTGTAAGTCGTTTTGGCTTTTCTAGGTACATAACTTCTGTTCAATTCAAACATTGAGACCACCTTTTCCTCTCACCTCTCAATCCATTGTCATTTCGGTATTTTGGCTGTTGTCACCACTCCAAATTGAATAACCACATCAATTCCCTCTTGTGCTATTATACTATGATGGCGACATCCAAGTGATCATAGACGATGAGCCGTTGCACATCTGACGTCCCACAGTGACATCCACGGGCTCTAGTCACCATAGGGCGTTTTGTGGATAAGGCCTAGATGAGTTGGTGGGAGACAAGGTAGATGTAGGTAGGATGAAAAAGAAATGCCAAAGTGACGATGAGATACAATTTTTCCAGTAGTTTCGATTCCAGTGGTGCACAAAGCGGCTTTCATGCTTGCTCTGAATTGGTTGGTTTAGCTTCACAAAGTCCTATTAAATTACATTCGCCACACTAGCCAAGGCTGTCTTGTGCACCTTTCATGCACTATACTGTATTGGTTATTTTTTTTTCATATATGATGCAGGAGAGCTGCATGTCATTTCATTAAGAGAGAACTTTATTAGTATATTTATGCCACTGGATTGACATTTTGGTTTGGTGATTTTCTGGTTATTTTCTAAGCAAGCCTCATTTACCCCTTGAGCCATCACTGTGCTATGGCCACACCTAGTTTTTCTTCATCTCCTCGTTACTGTTTAATTTACTGAGCAAGCCTCAGTAACCCCTTGAGCATAAACATGCTGATGCAGCTCTTTATTACCCTAATAATGGTTGGCTTAAATCGTCCAGCTAGTTATTTCCAAGTTGTTAACGCCTTTAATTAGTGCGTATGTATTTCGACCCTGGTTTTCATGTAACTGGCTGTTGTTTATGACAAACTCGATATTTTGTTCTATAGCTATGCGGAGGCTGTTAAAGAGTCACCACATTCACCAACATTGCCTTCAAGATCAACTGTAGCGAAAGCTGGTCCACAACAAATCCTCGATTCACTGTTTAAAATTCCTGAAATACGCACATATGAGCCAAGCTCTATGGACTGGAAAAAGGTAGTAAAGAAACTGCAAACGTTCAATTATGCCGCCGCATCAAACAACCAAGAAAGGCCTAAGAATGGTATGTAACATTTGTATAATTGACCTAATCTATTTGGATTCAGTACCCTGTTGGTTGTTATCTATATGACCCGTTTTATATGTTCAAGCAAGTCCACATTAAAATAGAGTGCTGACTGCTGATCTATGGCTAAAATATTTCCTTTCCTTTCCGGTCCATTGGGACCTGGCCTAATCACTTCCACTGAAACAATGACTGTACACACATTTTTCTTCTTCTAATTTTACGTAATCAGTGTCCTTATATTGAAACCATTTTTGATAGATCTATTTGCAGCTACATGTATTATTCTCGTTCACCCATTGGCTATTACATATTTTTTTAATTGTTGATGCAATTATTATTGCTTTATGTTAAGGGGATGGCTATCGTGAGTTCCGTGGTGTTGCTGGGAGGCATTATGATAAAATGAAAGAATACTATCAGAAAGTATGTTTTTTGTGCCGAGTTTTGCTTCAGTCAATTTGATCATAGAAGTTCCTTCTTCTTTTTTGTTATTTCTTATTGTTTCCTCATTTCTCCCTGACAGGCTGCCCTGGCATATTCAAAGGGTGACAAGTCATATGCTTCTTACCTTGCTGAGGAGGTGAGAATTCAAACTGTGATATGCAAAGGCTAAGTTATCTGTGGCACTGTTAAAAAAACAGGAAAAGGAAGCTCTTGATCTTCCATGTTAAATGGTAGACGAGGATGTTCTAGCTGATGTGCTAATGCTGTATTCTTACACCCGAAAAAGCTAGCACATCATATGCTTTTACCCATAACAAGGGTCCATACTCGAATGCTCCTGTTAGCAGTAACCCTATCATCCAAACAGTACATACCTGGTGTATGCAGGATGGTCCTAATTCCTAAATGATCTAATGTTGCTGTATTCCTACAAAACAAAACCTAGTATAGCGGACGTCTTCTCCCAAATATGCAGCCTAATGCCTATAGCACCAGAACTTGGGAAGTACAGACAATTGCTACGTTGGTGTGAACTTCCAAGTTATAGTTTTTTTTGCTGGAATGCTCCTGCCAGCATTAACCCCATCATCAAACAGAACAAAATAATCAGTTGTCTGCACTTAGGTGGTTGAGTGTCAGTCACCCCCTCAAGTAACTCGAATAATTTATTTTCTCTTTGTTTTAGGGGAAACATTATCGTGAACTGGGTCGCTTAGAAGACGAGAAGGCCAGCAGGAATATATTTGAAGCCAGGTAATAATCACTCATTCAAATACTTTTGGTAACTTGGTTCTGACTTCTGAGATCTAATCTCCTGTTTGCAGAAATAAGCATATAACGAATACAATAACCATCGACTTGCATGGCCAACATGTCCAACAAGCTATGAACCTTCTCAAACTTAACATGATGGTTTGTATTTGCATGCCATGTGAGTACCACACAAGATTCGATACTGTAGTCTCTGCCAGTGCTTTAATTCATGCCACTCAGCTATCTGTGTTTATCTAATGCTTTATTGTGCCTTTTTCTGTTTTTTATGCCTTTGTTCTTTAAACAGCTGTCTTACTGAGGGTGATTACTGGTTGTGGTTCAGAAGGTACAGGGAAGGGAAAAATAAAGCGCTCGGTAAGAAAGTACCTCTTTGGGTAGTGACTCTGATTATTCTCATGTGCTGTTTCCATGATAATTCTCAAACATTGCATATGTTAAAATTTTAATGCTATTCCTAAAGTCCTTCGTTGTAAAAATCATGTTATGACTCAGCCAAAGCTTGCACTCTCAAGTCAGGCATTCTTGAACAGGTCGGTTTCTTGGCACACGTCACTTTCTCAGGCTCCTTGCTCCCCGCATGTTAAGCCTATTTTCTTGTCTACACTTGCCACAATTGTGCCATCGATTCTTTTGCCACAGTAGTGCCACGCTACAGGTTGACAGACTTTGTATTTATATTTATTCTCACAAAATGTGGCTAGCACAAGTTTGCACTACTATTTGCAATTTGTATGCTGTGATTATATGTTTCAGTATAGTTGGATTTTACTGTGAAGGTCCAAACAATGTTCTTGTTGTAATTGATAGTTGAACTTTTGTAATATAAATGGTGACAGGTTATAGAGCTTGCGGAGAAGGAACATATTGAGTGGCGCGAAGAGAACTCTGGAACTGTAGCCCTTCGGCTTGGTGGGCCAAGAGAGTATCGGTTCCTTGAGCATGAAAACGATTCTGACTAAGCGGGGAAACCTTTTGAGGAGACTTTAACATAGATTAACTTGTGATCTAATCTATGTATCCCCGTATTTATCTGTATTTATGTGTTATGATTATGGATGCCTAGGCTGTGATGTAGGCTGTAGTAGTTCTGACACAGAAGTTTGGTATAATGTTGATCCCAGGCTGCTAACTCTAATGTAGTCTGAAGCTCTGTACACCCGTCTAGTCTAGTTGTTATGATGTGCTTCTGTGGACAATGTAAGACAGGAGCTGCAATCAAGTGTAAAACTATCGTGATGTTTTGTTGAAGAATATCATGGTATGACTGATTGCCAACTCATGCTGTTGAAAATAAGCTTTTCGCGGGAAGCATGCCTGAACCCCTTCGGATAATCAACTTTGGCTTGTACCGACTGGAACTCATATGATCTGTATCCGAATATACTCCATACGTTTAACAAACTTAAACCTTGTTTCCTCATAGGAAAAGAATCTTCAATCTGAAAAGTTTGTTGAGAAAATATGAATGTTTACATTTTCAAACATATTTATTATGGAAATATATTTAATACTTCATAAATATTACTTTCTTTGCCAAAGAAAAGAATGTAACTCTTATTCTGGAGAGTAAAAAAAGTACCAAGTTTGACCAAATATATATAGAAATGGACTTATATTTATTATGTGTAATAAGTATTTCTAGACGAAATATGTAATATAATTGTGTAATAAATATAATTAAAAATGAATATTATTCTTTTTATAAAGCTAGTACAACTTAAGATTTTATGAGTAGTCAGGAAACGACATTTAAATTTATTTTTTGGACGAAGAAAGTACTATATTTTATATATATATTTGATCGAACATGATATTGCTTGACTCTTTATTAAACGAGACTTACATCCTTCTTGGAGCATACTCTCTGTCCTAAAATTTTTGATGTTCTAGTATTTTTAAGAAATATTAGTAGAGAAGAGAAATGACTTTAGCACCCCTATTTGTTACAGGAGATTTCTTTAAAAAGAGGGATGTTATGGTTAAGTTTTCTAATTAAAGTGTCATTGCATGGTGGTATGTAGAGAAAGTGCATGTTAGATACCTAGAACATCAAGTTTTTGGAGACATTTTTTTTAAATAACAGAACATAAGTTTTTTGACAGAAAGATTAGGAAGTATTTGATAGTAGGTCTTTCACTCTTTATTTGAGTATGTGACATTGGCGCGTGTATTTGTGGTGAAAACGCTACCCAAGCCTTGAATTTTAAACTTTCCTTTTAACAATTACTCATACTAATTTGCATCCAAACTAGTTTTTATTTGAATTTGACTTTAACTTTGCGCTTGTTTGGTGGGCTTCTGGAGGACCTTTGACTCTGACTAAATCCTGTCAAACGGTCATTCAAGAAACGGTTCCAAGAAAAAAACCCAAAAGAAATGGAGCCATTTTTCAAATTTCCAAACTATACAAAGCCGTCACTGAAACCGTTTTGGCCAAGGTGTTTTAAAACAGCTTCCGTTCCATTAAGGGTCCGTTCGATTACTAGGGAACCGCGAATAGTTCCTTGCCGGATTACTTACTTAATTTAGGGCATGTTCGGTTATAAGTATTAGACACTGGGAACAATTCCAACTTGAAATATTGTGCTAATTTGTACTATCTTTGATCACAGAGAATGATTCCGGGAGGAAATAGGGCTAAACGAACAAGGCCTTAGGGCTCGTTCGTTTAGGTTGGTTCTAGGCAGGAATAGATCTGGTTGAGAGCAGTGTATATAAATTAGATAAGCGTTCCTGGCCGAAACAGTTCCCGACCTCAGAACCTCAGGAACCGAACAGGCCCTTACATAGCCTATGAGCAGCAGGAATGATTCCTGGTCAATTTTCGCCTAACCGAATGGCTGCTCTAGGAGAAGAAATAAGCCGAACGCTCTCCTTTCATTTTGCATTTGCAAGCCTAAATAAACGTGGACGACAGAACGGGCGTTTGTTGGGCATATACGTTTGGTTTGGGCCTTTGGCCCATCATCTCCTGGCTTTTTTCTCCAACGAGTCTCAGCTTCTCCCCAAAGAAATTATGGCGGCCGCCATTGCCGTTCTTCGCGCCGCCCTCCGCCGGGGCCGTCCGGCAGCCGCGGCGCTACTGCACCAACGTCCCAACCCCTCCGCTCGGAGCCTCCCGCCGCCGCCTCCTCTCGGTAAGGCCAGTCTCCCCTCCCGAGGCTAACCCCTAAACCCCCCTCAGTCCCACACGACCTCACCGTCCGCCCCTCTCACCGCAGGTCGAGCGCTTCCTCCCCTCCCGCGGCTTGGTTTCTCCGCCAGCTTCGGCTACTCCACCGCCACCGAGGAGTCGACGCCCGCCGCGAGGCCCAAGGGCAAGGCCAAGGCCAGGAAGAACCCCATGAAGCAGTCGCGCTTCGACTTCACCAAGGTGGACGCCGCGCTTCTCCCCACCGTCATCCTCGTCGGCCGCCCTAACGTCGGCAAGTCAGCCCTATTCAACAGGTGAGAGGCGCCTCGGGAAGGCAGCCCGTCGTTGGCTCTCGCCTGTAGTTTCTGTGCCCCTCATGGGGCGGCATTTCCACGAACACCTTCGGTCTCTCACCGCACCCGTAGCACAAGCAACCATTTTGTATGGCGCGCATTTGTTCAGCTGTGCTGGCAGAGATATATATATCTCGACTCACCAGCATTGTATGCATAGATGCTTAGCTATAGCTGCCTGCTCCTCGGTCTTACACACATGATTCCATCAATGTTGCTACTATGAAATTATTCCTTCTTGAAATTTTGTCGAGTGGAGTTTCTGTCGTATTATGTTATATGTTAGAGCACTGCTCGATTTATAATTTCTCATCTGAACTGTTTTGGCGTTTGCATTAGATTTATACGGAGGAGGGAGGCGTTGGTGTACAATACTCCTGGGGACCATGTCACTCGTGACATCCGTGAAGGAGTTGCCAAGCTTGGAGATCTCCGTTTCCGCGTGCTTGACTCAGCTGGACTTGAGACTGCAGCAACATCTGGGAGCATTCTCGCTCGGACCGCAGATATGACAGGGAATGTATTGGCTAGGTCTCAATTTGCCATTTTCTTGATTGATGTGAGGTGAGTCAGATAAATCTTGTTCTTATCATGGAATCAGTTCAAAATGTGGTTACTTGTTGCCTAGTAAAATTGCAACTCTCTTTGAAGGGATGGTCTGCAGCCGCTGGATCTTGAGGTTGGGCAATGGCTGCGGAAGCATGCATCTGGGATACATACGCTTGTTGCGATGAACAAGTCTGAGTCACTTGATGAGCATGGACTTCTGACTGCTGCTGCTGGAGAAGCACACAAGTTGGGGTTTGGTGATCCTGTTGCAATATCCGCAGAGACAGGCCTGGGGATGGCAGAACTCTATGAGATACTCAGGCCATTGTTTGAGGAATACATGTTTCAGCTTCCAAACAGTAAGCCCATAGCAATATATGCAATGGTTTGGAACATATGTCGTTTGGTTCGATCTTTAGTGGCCAAGTGTTAATTTCTTTGACCAAGCACTTTGTGTTCGTCTATTGTTATACTTATTGAAGAAACTAATACACTATTTTACCATTGTGAGCCTGTGAGGCATTAGTATAAGCAGATATTAGATATTGGTTAGGTATCAAGGTGACCTAAACAAAAATAATAGCTTTATGTGCTATATTGGTCTCAATTTTAGTTCCACTGAAGTTGATGCATTGAGTGAAAACAATTACAGCATTCGGAGATCGATATGCTTCTGGTTTAAGGAACCCATTTTAGTGAGGCGTCTTTAGGAATTTCGGCAGTATTATTTGTCCTTAGATTAGATAATGCTATATGTTTCTCTAGCAATAAGAGATTTATGAATCTACACCATTGGTGCTATACTGATATTGAGGGGAACCATGCTTTGAACCTACAAACTGACTATTCAACATTGACATGTAATAGATGACCTCAATCAAGATGATCCTACCTCAGAGGTTGAAACTGAGGCCCATGAAGGTGACGAGAGCAAGTTACCTTTGCAGTTGGCAATTGTGGGACGTCCTAATGTTGGGAAGTCCACCCTTTTAAATACCTTGTTGCAAGAACAGAGAGTTCTTGTTGGTCCAGAGGCAGGTCTAACAAGGGACTCGATTCGGGCTCAGTTTCAATTTGATAATCGAACCGTGTATTTAGTAAGTTAACTGTTCCCTGTTAGTTTACCATACCTTTTGCAACACCATATATTATATGGCTACATTTTTGTGCTTATATTGTGAACATTAGCTGTGATGTGTTGTAACACTTGCACTTTGTGGGCTTAATAATTCATAACAATTTTTGTACTACCTCTGGTAAAAAATACTTGAAACTATTGTTTTTCTTTTGGTCTTCAAGTACTACTTTGACCATTTTTTTGGAAGTTCTTTCAAAAGACAAATATACTCATATAATATTTCTGTTTCCAAACTAGATATTTTGGAAGCTGTTGGTGGTCAAGTTTTAAAAGTTTGAATGGATATTTGTCAAAGTGTCAAGTATTTGTGACCGGTGGTAGTAATAATTAAGTCTCGACTGTGCTTGTTTTCTATTGTGTATATTGTGCTTTTTCACCTCTTATATTGACTGTCTAAATTCTGGGGTTCGGAATGCTAGAAATTTGTTTTGGCTCATCCCAAGACTTGTCTACTACTGAGATAATTAGCAACACAGAAAGTTGACTAGGACAATAATTACATAGGCTCTACAACCGATACCACCAAATATGAGGATCTTATATGTCTATAAAGCTGGCAGCTTAGCCAAACTGAATCATATAAAATTTTCATTCAATTTGTTACTTGAGCACGCTAAACTTACCCAAAACTTATGATGCTTGTTACAGTGTAGGAGTTCATAGCATGGTGTTCATGCAAGCTGTTTCTGTGTGGCTTGTGGTCTAATCATCTTCATTTTCATTTTCGTAATGCAGGTGGACACTGCAGGTTGGATGGAAAGATCAGGGAAGGAGAAAGGGCCAGCATCTTTGAGTGTTGTGCAGTCTAGAAAGAACCTAATGAGGGCTCACATTGTTGCTCTTGTGCTGGATGCTGAAAAGGTACTTACTGTGATTTTGATATCCAGAGCCAGTGACTTACAGGGTGTGTTAATAGTTCTACAGGGTGTGTTAATAGTTCTGTACATATTTACATGGCACTAGACTTGCTGGATACTGGTTTAAGCATGTGTTATCTTGATGTTCTGGTGCCAGGGCCATGTTAAATCATTGAGCATTAAGACCAACCCCATGACCATGAGTGCTTTCAGTGTGCTTGGCTGATATTACCAATGTCTTCATGCATTTTAGATTTCATTTGAATTATAATGTACAGTCCCATGATAAAACTCTATGGATATGCAGATTGCTAAGTCCAAAAGTAGCATGAATCACCCAGAAGTCGTGATAGCACGGCAAGCAATAGAAGAGGGCCGTGGACTCGTTGTGATTGTCAATAAAATGGATCTCCTTAGAGATAACCAAACGCTGTTTAACAAGGTTATGGACGCTGTTCCTAGTGAAATTCAGACAGTCATTCCTCAGGTAATTGTTATATTTTATTAGTTCGTAATACACTGGTTTTCAACCTTGAAGACATGATTACCAGTCACAGTTAAGGGCTACTAATAACTCTCCAAAACAGAACTGCACTCTCTCTAAAACAGAACTGTTAAATGGTAATATGAATGTTCAGTTATTCTCTGCGTGAATACAGGCAACTTCTGATTATATGGGGTTCCTCTCAAAATTTGTCTGTTGTTAACATTTTTTTAATAATTGATGAGGCGGCATTCTTTGATTAACTCTACACTTTGGGTTATCATGCACACAGATTTTATTTGTTTACTGTTGATTCAGTTTTATTTTGGTAATCAGCACAGATTCAGGTGCTTTGCTATGTTTACTGATGGAGCAATGGATTTGTCATGTTCCTCGATTGAAAAAGCCGCATGAGTTCTTTTGATTTGGTGTTTGTTAATAACCAGAGATGCTGTCTAAATTTCTTGGTCATTGGCATTTTTTTTTAATCTTTCCAGACATGTTGCATGCATGCTGCCTCCTAACTAAGACCCACCCAAATATTTTTCTTTAGCTGAAAAGAATGAACTGATACATTCTGGAATATGTTAGTTTGTTTCATATTCTTATGGAGTTCCAAATTGCAAAATGTTGATCCCCCCACCCCCTTCCTTTTGGCAGGTGACAGGAATACCGGTTGTTTTTGTGTCAGCACTGGAGGGGAGGGGACGGATTGCTATGATGCGCCAGGTTATAGATACCTATGAGAAATGGTGTTTAAGATTGTCAACATCACGGCTCAACCGTTGGTTGCGTAAGGTAAATATCCTGCTTACAGAAATTTTATTTGGTTGTTTGCTTGTGTGTGTGTGTTCTGTAGGAACACTCATTTAAGATGGATAGATAATAAGAAATTAGATCTCATACCTTAAAAATTCAATTTAGATTGTGTAGATCCAGATGAGTTACCTATATCACAAGAAAGTGGAATCTGTATCAGTGAAAAGTAGAATGGTTTAGGAGATCCTTCGAAAAATTTCAGTGCCTTCTAGTAGTTGACTTGGTATTTTCCAGTATCCTTTTTTAAGATGACTTCTTACTCTGTACATTCCCATGCCTACCACTCGGTTTGTTTTGACTGCATGATGTTCAAAGTTACTGACTACTCTGGCCAGACATGCCATTCTGGCATTTATACCGATCATTACCTCTAATACCTTGTGATTATGCTCTAGGTTATGAGCAGACATTCCTGGAAAGATTCAGCTACTCAGCCAAAAGTCAAGTACTTCACTCAAGTGAAGGCGCGACCACCAACTTTTGTTGCCTTTATGAGTGGGAAGACTCAGCTTTCTGATACAGATATTAGGTTCTTGACAAAGTCTCTCAAGGAAGATTTCGACATTGGGGGAATACCGATCCGGATCGTACAACGTTCTATTCCAAGAAAAGCTTCTGCAAAGAGCAACACAAGGAACACTGGGCCTAGGATTGTCAGGATGAAAACAGACAAACGAACAACGGTATCTGACCCTGCTCTGTCATAGAGGGCGAACATCAGTATCAGTATATGTTTCTTGTGGGGTTTAAGGTGCCGATGAAACAGAAACTGCTGGGTTCCAGTCTAGACGTTCAGAAACGAGAAACTGACTGTTGTCGTCTCGGGAAGTGTTACAAACACGTGAGCTAGCAGTTCGGCTGCCTGCATATTCAAAAGGAAGAATGGCAGTAAGAAACAAGCCCAGCAATCCGACTCCTGGAGGAAAACCTACCTTCTTCCGAACAAATAGGAAACGACCTCGGTTTAAATGTTTCAAAGGACGGCATCACTTCGCAACGTTTGTTGAGCGGAAGTTAGTCAAGATCAGGTGAAGGGATGCTTTTTCGTGCATCCCTCACATTTTCTGTACAGAAAATATGGTAGAATGATCTCTGATGGTAGTGTCGGAGGCTTACCGATCATCATCAGACAACAGCTGCAAGCTTACACGGCACCGGGAGCCCCTTTATTATTTTTCTTTTCTCTGAAGACAACTCCTGTGTGTACTGTAGGGGAATTGCTATGGTTCTGCTTCTGATTGATCCTAGTGCTTCTATCATTTTCCTGAACAAAGAATGTTGCTATGAGCTTTCCAGAAAAGGAAGAAACAATTGCTATGCAAAAGTTTCGCAGTTGCTCTACTTGAATAGTTTCACCTGCAATTTTGTGACATTGTCCGTTGGCATTGGATAGTCGATCGGATCTTCAGGTGTTTCATCCACAAGCAAAGCCCTGTGAGAGGTATACGCATCAGACAGACAATTGGTGGTGGAATCGGATAAGCGTGCGCTGTGGAGCACTGCCGGCGTGGCCCGTCCGCCCGTGCACGGTGAGCACGGGAGCAGAAATCCCTCGCGTACGGGAACGCACCCGGGCCCTTCCAAAGCCCAGATCCCCACCCAACCTAACAAAAAGGCACGCCCCACCCTGGCCACCCAGTCCCCACCGCCGGCCACCAAGCAGGCGCCACCGTTCGGTCCAGTGGTCCACCATGCCGCGCTCCTCCTCCTCTTCGTCGTCCAACCCCTTCCACTCCCTCGCTTCCGCCTTCCCCTTCCTCTCCTCCCCGTCCCCATCCCCACCTGCCTCCGCCTCGCCCTCGCCCTCCGCTCGCCACCTCGCCGTCCCGCTCCTCCTCCCCGTCTCCTCAGCTTCGGCCTCGGCCTCGGCCTCCTCCGAGTCCCGCCGCGGGCCGCAGCCGCTGCCGGGCGCGCGGATGGCCAAAGCGGGCTCGGCCGGCCGGGGTAATACGGCTGGCGGTGGCGCGGGGCCCGCGTTCGTGGGCCAGGTGTTCACCACGCTCGACCCATCCGGGAACGGGCTCATGGCCGTTACCACACGCTTCGAGCTCCCGCGCTTCCTCACCAACAGGTAATAGCCGCCCCCAACCGGTGCCCTGCACTCTGCCGTGTTTTCCACACTGCGCCTCTGCCGCCGTCTTTTGGATAGGATTGCAACATACCTGTAATTCTGAGGCTCCACCAAATCGAATGTGTTAGCCTGTAGCTCTGTACTGTGTGCACGCTAATTTGAAACCAATTCGACTCTTGTCATGTGAAGTAAATACACGCATCATGGTAAATTTGTGATCTGGATGTAGTATGTTAATCCACCGAGCAATGTGGGAAAGGTCAGGAAAAACATTCTCGCGGTTGACTGCAACATATAGTTATATATCATAGCTGAGCTAACATTTTAACCTCTCCCCCGATCCTGCTAATTGGCATTTTGAAATTTATTCTTGTTTCAGGACTCCTATGTGGTTCAAAAGGATGTTATCACCGTTGAAGAAGAGCGAAAATAATCCAGTATTTAGGTTTTTTATGGATCTGAATGATGCAGGTAATGCTGTCTCTAAACGTTTCTTGTTCTCCTCTGCCTGATGCTTTTGTGATCATATCAGTTATTTAAAGCCTGTTCACACCAGAGCATATAAATACCCAGTTAATATTATTTCAGTTCTCTTAAGTCCAACCTTGGGAACTGCTTTCGAATAATGTAGCGGATTTAGATTAACATCGGGACTCTAGGCTACCATTTTTCTTCTTTTGCAAAAATTGGATATTCAAGTGTGGGCATGACTAACACTAACAGTTGCACTTTTCCCTTAAGTCCAACCTTGGGAACTGCTTTCAGTTAGGGGTAATAAAAGTTGACTGAAGCCAATTCTCAGCTCTGGACTTCTAGGTTAATAGGTGTCCTGAACCCAAACCTGAGTGCAAAGCACCCCTATCTTTTGGCACAGCGAAACTTGTATAATTAATTCTGAGGACTGTGACCAGCTCTGGCAAGACAAAAAGCTCCACAGTTGCTTATTGACCTATTGGACAGGTTAAAAAACATCCACTTTGGTTCCTAGTTCTCTGGATGTAATTTACACTTTCTTTTGGTGGTGGTACGTGGTAGGTTGCACTATCTTGTACCAAGAAAGGATGCTTTATTTCTAAGCAGGATTTATTCATAATGCCGTCTAAAGAACTTGATTTCTCAGCAGTCAGCACTACCTTTTCTATAACAATGTTCTACAAATGTAGTTATCTCCAGCTTATTTAGTGAGTCTGAAAGGATTTGAGCTAATTTGCTTTATCGTTTCCAGTATCCTATGTAAAGCGACTAAATGTGCCAAGCGGTATGGTGGGGGCTTGTCGCCTTGATGTAGCATACGAACATTTCAAGGTTAGTTGTGGTCGTTTTTCAAGGAAAATAATTTTCTTTTCAATTTTTTTTATGATAAGGGAGTTCTGATATTTTTTTTATTTGCTCTTGACTTTCTTTTAGCTTTATATTTTGTGTTGTGTCACTGCTGAGCTTTAGTGTCTAGTATTTTTTTATAGTATGGTAACACAGTTCCAGGTGCTCCTGTATGGGATCGAGTAACTCATCAGTATCAGTTGTTTTAGTCACATTAAGAACAGCAAAGTCTCTGAATCCAAAGCAAATAGGGCTAAGCTATAGATATGAAACATGACAGGAGTCACAGATATAGAGGTCATACTTTATTCTTACATGATGTGCGTGTTAGGTTTTTCTACCCTTAAAAAATGAGGAAATATTCTTAAAATTGCATCCGCCGTTGCCTCTAGATTCTAGACTAAGGTTGACTCCATCGAATGTAAACTAAATTTTCTCTAGCTGCGAACATACGATAGTGATTACTGATAGTGGCAAATAATCACATAGCACTATAATACTCTTTTGCATAGCATTATTAAAGGCTATGTGATTCGGTTCTCTGAGATTGTTAATTAAATTTTCTATTGTCTCATTGCTTTCAAGCAACTCAGCGACATGTCTAGATTTTTATCTGTTGCTATCATTTACTTTTTGGCACATCCAGCTGTCATGACTCATGCGTCTACATTTCATACTTGATTGACACTGTATTCTCATGCGTCTACATTTCATACTTGATTGACACTGTATTATTATCCTTTTTCTTTTTCATTTTTTTAAATACTCCATCTGTCCTGGAATGATAATCCGAACCGTATTTTGATTGATCAGGGAAAAGTCGAACAAATTAGATTTTGATCATTGATTCCTCTTACTTTATGCTATCATTTGCTAAAGAATCAACATCAGCTCAGAGGCATTTTGACTACAAATTCATTGATGCAAGTTTTATGTTCTAAACTTGTACGGAGTATATAATTTGAATAATTGTTGATCAAATTTGTAAAGTTTGACTTTTACATGAATATGATTATCATTCCGGAATGGAGTGATACCAGCTTTTTTTGTTCGCAATATTTGTTATGTATGATTTGCACTCTGCATGTTCTCTTTGTGACATTGCAAATAATTTTTGTGCAGGAAAAGCCTCACATGTTCCAGTTTGTTCCAAATGAAAAGCAGGTATGTGCTAAAATTTCTCAGCCTACCTATAACTTAAGCATGCCGTTAGAGATTATATTGTTTCCCTTTCAGGTCCAGGCTGCCAATAAGCTATTGAAGTCACTTCCACAAAGGGGCAGAAGGAAAAAACTTGGTGGTGTTCCTGTTTTTAGTGCGCAAAACTTGAATATTGCAGTGGCAGCAAATGATCGAATTAGATGGTATGGATCTTCCTGATGCCTCTTTGATTATTTCTGTAAATACTCTATATCATCTGTTAATGTTTTTTACTGGCATATCAAAGATGTGTGGTTATCCTCATAAAAAAAAAGGTGTGCGGTTATCTTTTGTTGTCTTTTATGCATGCATGTATAATGTAGTTCCTATGATTTGCACTCAGCATGAGCAGACATCATTTGGACATTGACAAGTCTAAGAACTTTCCTCTTAAATTTATTTTCTGTTTCTGTTTCAAAATTTTAATTTTCTGATTTTCACCTTGCCAGATTTATGTTTTTTTTATTTCTTCTTTATTTTTATTCAATTGTACTGATTTTCGTTTTTGTGCAACTTTGTCACTGAGCAATGTCAAGAAGATGATTATGACATGTCCTCATATGGTCCACTGATATGTCCTCATGGACTATTCTGTTTGTGCTATCTATGGTCTGTATTATAGATAATTCTCTTTGGCACCAGGAAAACCTGATCATATATTTTGATGCCTTAAATATATCAGCGCAAGCCTGATATGATTCTTTATGCTCATAATGTCAGGTACACACCATACTTTTTTGATAAAAACTTGTTGGACAATATTCTTGAAGCTTCAACGGATCAGCATTTCCATTCTATAATGCAAAATCGCCATACACAACGTAGAAGGGACATTGTTGATGATAATTTAACATCAGAAATAATTGAAGAAAGTGCTGAAAGCTTGCTTGAGCCTCCAGAGGTATTATGACCATTTTTTGCACATAAGATGTCTTGAATTTGTTGTTTAGAGCAATATATCTTAATCCAATTTCCGGCTGACAGTACGAGGTACTTTTGATTTAGGTACAAGAATTAATGAATGAGATTGGCCCAGCTGGTATACCCTTAAATGTTGTAACGAAAGCTGCAAAGATTCAGTTTCTTGATGTTGTTGATAAAGTTCTTCTAGGAAAT